CGTGGCACCAGAGCTACCAAAGCAATGGCGGCTGCAGTATCCTGTAGAGCTACTCGATCGACGACATCATCATCTTCAGCTAATCATCTTCTCGTTGCAAATCTGCACTATATATCGATGTACATCTGCCCTTCAAGGCTACAAAAAGCCAATAAAAACACCTCCTTGCTGCAGCTCGCAGTCCAAATGATATCTCGCCAAGAGCCTTGTCATTTTCTGCTCCACTTTTACTTTTTCGGTGCTGTCGTCGTCTTACCCGCAAACTTACTTCCCTTCTTATCGGCGTTTAAAAACGCTTCCCCTTTTTTGCCTTCGAACCCCGCGCGCTGAACAGACACAACCACACACCCGACTGTGTCAACGCCAAACAACCAATCCAATTTCAGTCCCTCATCAAGTCAACAAAAGCCGCACCGGTCCCTTTCGGCCTTTTTTCTCGCCTGCCTTCGCTGTCTCCTGCCTCCCGCGACCCAACGCGCTCGTCCGTTTCTTCTTCAGTCGCTCCTTCGTCGACACCTCGAGCTTCGCCACGCGCTCCTTCCACTCTTTCGAGCTCTTGGCCTTGGTCTTCTCCTTCTTCTTCAGCTTGGCGCGCAGCAGCTTGGGGTCGTCCAGCACCACTTTCCCAGCCGCCTGCTGCAGCGCCGTGTCCCAGCCCTTGGCCTTGACCTTCTCGGCGCCGTCCTCCGTCTTCTTGAGCTCCTCGAGGCGCTGGGCGTTGCGCTCCGCCTTCTTGAGCAGGTTCTGGATCCCGCGCACACTCTGGCCGTGACGCGTCTTCACCGGCGTCTTCTTGTCCTTGTCAAGCCCCTCGTCCAGCAACAAACTGCCGTACGAGATGGACGAAGTGTCAACGGTCGACACGTCGTTTGTTTTCTGCACCGCTTGTGTCTCTCCTTGGGCCTGAGAAGCAGCTGCTTCCAGCTCGCGCGTCTCTGCGTGAGCTTTGCTCCGATTGGCTGCGCTCTTGCGTTTCTTCAACGAGCGCTGCTCGGCCACGACTTCCGCCCGAGACGGACGTTTCTGGCCCGTCTTCGCCTCGGCGTGGCGCTGCTCGCGCATCGTCTGGATCTTCACAGCGAGACGAGCGCGGAGACCGTCGAGACCATCGGCTCCGCTCGTGGCGTCACGCGACGTCCGTCGCTTGTCCAGCGCTTGCAGTTGCTGCGGCAGTTGCAGTTGCTGCTTTTCCTGCTGCTCGAGGGCGGCTGCGCTCTGCTGACGCTCCTCGTTGCTTTGCTGCGCGGCGGGAGAGAACTTGGCGCGCTTCAACACGCGCTTCTTGGACGACTCGCGCTGGTGCTGAGCCTGGACATTCTGTGCTCGTTTTTAACACAGACAGACAAGGAGTGAAGGTCACTCCGATGTTAGGATAACAGACATCGAGAAGATGTACCCATTTGCCTTAGACACGTTGAAGCAACGTCGCACCTTGTGGTACTTTCTTGGCGCCGACTGTTTCCAATTCGCTTCGGCGTCGGTGGGAAAGTAAAAACTCGGCGGAATGTTCTCCATCGTATCACAGAAGAAACGATCGTGCTCCATCAACGTGTCGAGGGTCGCATCACCCGACGTAGCGCGCTGTGCATCGACGCGCGTCGACGCTTGCAGCAGTCTCCGTCCTAGCAACATTCTGCAGGGGAAACGAAGACGACAACGAATGCGCGTTGCTGTTGACTGGCGCGCACTCTCGGATCCCGCTGATTGGCTGAAACCACGAAGCAATGCGGATTGGCCTTTCTTACTCACGATCAGTCCGCACTCACTGCCACGTTTTCTATCGTCTTGCATGGACCAGTGCGCAATTTTCCCGCAGAGAGACGCGACATGAAAGCGCTCAAGTTGCTCTATGCGTGGACCACGTTCACGACCGTATCCTGCGCCCTCTTTGTACGTATCTCACGCTGCGGCGGACACGCGGTGGCGCGAGCTCGCCCAAGAAACAACGATCTCTCTCTCTTGCCTAACGGTTGCACTTGTACTTGTCATGGACCTCTGCTCTGTGCGTGCAGGCTGCGTACATGGCGTTCGTGGGTCGACATGTGTATACACAGAACGTGACACATTAATCCGCTGTATACACACTGTATACAAACCAGGATGCGCGTGTATACGTGGTGTGTAGGTATACCGGATCATGTCCCCGACGTTCTCTGACAGTCCGAACACGTTGGATCCGCTGTGGGGACCCAGCCAGTCGCTGGACGTGACGCTCTACGTGTCCTGTCGTCCACAATGGGACGCGGCCAGCGACTTTAAGCGAACACCGTGCGCATTGGAGCGTTCGAGGCGCTCACTTTTGATTGGTCGAGCTCGAACACGCGACAGCTGGACCTCAATCTCTCGCGCGCGACGCTGACGCACTTTGCCAACGACTCTGGACTGGCCGACGACGTGTGGAACGCGCTCAAGGGCAACGCGTCCGTGTTTCTGCACGTCCACGTGACACACGCGGGGTTCTCCCCTAACCCGATGGGTGCCCCGCCCTACGATCAGTACCGGACCTTCCACCAGGCCTTGCGTCTCGTCCACTACGCTCCGAGTCTGAAGGCGAAGAAGACGAACCTGTTACTGGCTTCCAAGCCACTGCAGAACCGCTCGCAGACGACGAGAGACGACGATGATGAGGTTACGACCACTTCGTACTGGAAACCGACGGTGAGCATGCGTCTTGTCACGGACTTTCGACGATATCCCGTAGCGGAGCTGCCGCTGCTCGTGTACCAGAACTTGCGCTTTGTCCAGCACCCGATGGATCAGCGGTGGCGCTATTTGCAAGCGCTGTACGTGGACGATCTGTCGCAGACGCAGGACAAACTCGTGCCACTAAACGCCTCGCTCGACGACGGAAGTGGAGGAGACGCGGCGCTTCCGCTGCAACTGCTTTGGTCGCCGCTCTCGTTTGCTCGTTGGCACATGCAGCTCACATTTGCCAGCGTCTTTGTATCACAGGAGCAACTAGGTATGCCGTCAAGCGATCTGGATGCTCTTCGTTCGATGGTGACCGACACGCACCCTGTGCTTCTGGCGGTCACCATGGCTGTGTCGTTGCTGCACTTACTCTTCGACTGGCTCGCCTTTCGTCACGACGTGAGCTATTGGCGCGCCAAAGGAGAAAACGTCGTTGGTATTTCTCTTCGAGCTATGGCGGCTGAATTGGCTTCGCAATGTGTAGTTTTGTTGTACCTTGTCGACAACGAGTCGACGTTGCTCGTTACGGGCCCGCAGCTTGTCAGCGTGGTCCTGCTTGTTTGGAAAGTCACGAAGGTGAAACGGGCGCAGCGGCAGCAGCTGGAGCACGAGTTTTGTGCTGATTTTGGTGAGGACGAAGCTCAGATGACGCACAAGCAACACAGTCTTCGGTTGCTAAAAGAGACGCAGCACGCTGACTCATTGGCTACGTCACACATGCTGTTCATACTTGCGCCTCTAACTGCGGGATACGCCGTGTACTCGCTGCTGTATGTCCCACACGCTGGGTGGTATGCCTGGTTGCTCGAGTCCATTACGACGACGGTGTATGCGCTGGGCTTTATCTTTATGCTCCCGCAGCTAGTCATCAACTACCGTCTCAAGTCGGTCGCGCATTTACAGTGGCGACTGCTCGTCTACCGTGCGCTGAACACCTTCATTGACGACTTGTTCGCCTTTGTGATCAAGATGCCGACACTGCACCGGATCTCGTGCTTTCGCGACGACATTGTCTTCGTCGTGTATCTGTACCAGCGTTGGGTATACCCTGTCGATGTCCAGCGACCGGGAGACGTTGCCGACGGTGCTTCTAGCCTGAAGAAAGACGCCTTGAATAAGCCTCACGATGAATAAAGGTGTGAATACAAGCCTCTGGGCTACTCGTTTTTGCGTATTGCTTGCTACGCTTGAGATCGCATGTTGACACTACCGGCTCAAGAGGATCTTTGGAGAAGGTCTAGTTGTCGTCATTTTACATGACGCCTACGAACATGTGACACGAGTCGCAAACAGATGGACATGTGGTCATTTCCTGAAAGTGGTTCGTGAACATCATTGCTGTATGAGTGATTAAATGCTTCTAAATGTCCGAACACTTGCGACTATGAATCAACATGGAAGCGTAAGCGACGAAGTTTGTTCCTGATTGTCGAGTCGCACAACAAACAGAAGCTGGAGGGGGTCCCATGGTGATCCGACCAAATTTCTCAATGATTACAACGCAACTCATTGCGGGTTTGTCAAAGGCTTACAACGACAGCGAGGCGTTCGTATTGCGGATGTGTCTGGTGGGAAGTGCTAGGCTACAACATGGCTGGGGCCTAACGAACGATTGAGACATTTGTTCCGCGCCAACGAATATAATGTACATTGAAATACAGGCAGTTTCTCGACTTGTGGATCTGCTCGCGTCGCTTGCCGGAAATGAGGGTCTCACTTGTTGAGGCTGGTGCTGGTGGAATTGTGCCGCTTGTCAACAGCGTTTTCCACGTTCTCTTGATCATTGCAATCGTCGTGCACAATGCGATCGATTCGCACACTCTATGTTCGATGGTACACATATGGACAATGTCGGTGACGGTGCCACACGTTTCTCATGTCATCGCCTTGCATGTCGTCAAGAAGAGACATGGTGATGCATATTTTTATCAAACACAACCTCGTTCAACAGCTTTCGACATGTACCACTGGTCACCATCACCGCTAAGTCATTGGACCTTCTGTGATTAAGAGTTCCTCTTAGGGACTGCTGGAATGGAATTGCTAGAAACCTTGAACCGTCAGCGTTTGATAGTGGCGTCGTCATGATAATGCATCCAGATGTAATCCGTATAGGCATCTACGAGCAGGCAGTGATCAAGGCGGTTCGAGCTGGAATCGAGAAATGATGAGCACCACAAGCGCCACATCCGTGTTCTGTCGAAACATCCCGATCGACCCCTCGCTTTTGCACTCGAGACCACGTATGGGCTTCATTTTACCTGATTCAGCATCACAAAGACGTCGTCCGATATAATATTGCTCCTGATCTACTGCAAAGTTAGCATCTGTACGTCTTCATTCGGCGAACCAGCCTCTTTTGCCATCGCTCGTGCGTTCAACAGGGTCTCCGCCACAGCTATGTACCTAAAGCGCTTCGCAACCATGAGAACGAGCAAGAGCACAGGCCCCAGGCCCTCTTTTTCAGCCCAGCTAATGTACATCATGTATACGCGTGACTTTATACCCGTCAAGTCTTCTAACGAAGTCATTCCGAGCTGACGCACAACAACTTCTGGCTTTGATCCAGGGCCTTTCCACATCGTCAGTTGCTTCGTCTCCAGACCACAATCTTTTCTTGCCTGACAGAATCGGCCTTCGCCTCGTCCAAGGCCTACACCAATTTGTTGCAACAACGAAAACCTGAGGTCATCACTGTGAGCAAATTGTGATTTATTTTGATCTTCTTGTTGCAGCCCATAATGAAGTCATCCAAGCTCTCTACTTTTACACCGAAGCCAACAAAAGAGTCCGTGCTTTCCAGCTTGAGTGATGATTAGCTGTGGTCGATTGTTTTTCCGCTGCTGATCCACCACTCCACAGTCTGTTTTACCAGCTTTTCTACGTCTTGTATCGACAAGCTAACCACATTTCCGTTCACCGGTTTCTTCACTAGTGCTCCCGCCATAGCTGCATCACCGAGATCCTTCACACACATACTGACAAGAGAAAAAGCACGACGGGGATTCTTTACGTCAAGCTTGTCGATGTAGATTTGAACGCGTGTAACTCTGGACCCGTCAGGTCTTTTGGTATTTTGGTCATTTCAAGTGGAAGCGCAGCTTCTTCTGGATTCAAATGAAGTGCTATCCACCCCGTAAATAGCTGTTCGAGTAGCTCAAGGAATCTCCCTGGAGCTGGATAATCACCTTTAGCCTTCGGGAATCCTAACCTAAACTTATCACGCCACCAACGCCAGAGGTCATGGCGGTAAGCAAATCGGAATCGATTGATTTTTCGACATTGAATGCGACAATGAAGTCCTTCAATAGCTCCACGTGTGCAATGTGACTGCCCATTAAAATTTGTTGTGTCCAGCTTCAGTGACTAGAAGACGTAATCAGTAGTTTTGCTTCTTTTGAGCCACCACGCGAAAAGCTCTTTTCAGCCTCTTTAGGCATTTACTTTGATGATAAGGGCAATGCACCTTTACGCAGCACTTCAACCAAACCCTCGTCCGTGAAATTTTTGAACACCGTCTTGACTAGCCAGCACTTTGATCCCAAATTTCGGCTTGATGCATATCAGTGTACTCCATCATTAGACGTGATCTTGTCCCCGTGACGCAATCCACATCACTTAACAGTTCTAGCTTCTCCCAGACGTATTCGAGCGGCCGATGATTTTTCTTCCATTCCAACAGTAGCAGTCCTCCAGTTTGGAATCGTGCTAATTTAAGGCTCTTTTCAAAGTCATGTACATCTTGCGTTGCTATCAACAAATCGGTCACTGAGAGTGGAACACCACGATAGCCTGATAACATTCCTGTGTTCATGTGACATTGTCTGACTTCACGTATTTGTAGACTTGAATGAAGTCGTTCGACCAACCCACTCGTCCATCAAATTTAATGATATCGATCTTGTATCCACCGAGTCCCAGTCATTTCAAGACGTCTTCGGTTTTTTGCCATCACTTATCCGACCCATCAAAAGCTGTGTCGTAAGCTTAGAAACGCCTTCATTCAGCGAACCGTTCTTTTTTTATAGACACCAGTGCCTTTGCCGTGTCTCCTGTCTTGTGGTGATCCCTGAGCATATCGCCAAGCAAAAGCCCACTCTCCGGATACGTATCAATGTACTCCATGGACACGGCGACCCTTCAGCCTGTCAGTTTATTACCGATCCAGCCATCTTCAGCTCTTCCAAGACTTGCGTTGGTGGAAATGATGATCTCTCCATTTCTTGTGCAGCATCACTTTCAAGTCCAAAGCCTTTGTGTCGTATCAAAGACTCTTCTTACCCAGAAAGTCAGCGAACATGTCTTGACCCTCGAATCCCCAAGACACAACCGAGTGCAAATCGACAACGGCTGACTCCTTCTCTTTCAAGGCCTTGATAAAGTCTTCTAGCACCTCCAATCGTGCAGACAAGGTCCTTTCGATGTTGTAATCACCCAGTTTCAACAGTTTGACGACATCGTAAGCGCTTCCACCATCTCTGACCCACCACTCAATAACGTAATGCTTCCCACTTCTCAATATCTCACGCATAGAACTTGCCTATTAGCTGCCTCCCTTGCCTCGACCAGTGCCCTTGTCACAACATCCTTCTCGATGCGCTGTACGAACGTCCTGACAAACTCAAGCGCGAGCTGCAGATCGGTTGCATCAAGCAATCGATGTACTTGAAGAATTGGCGTAGCCATGGGTCCGTCAGGTCTTTTACCGCATAGACGTTAATCCTGAGCCAATGCAAGACATCTTCTGGGTCCACAGGACGCATTTTTCACGTCGCAAATAGCTGAGTCTCCAACTTCAAAGCTGGCGCATTTGCCAATATCGACGTTCATTTGGGTTCACCAAACTCTGACGTCAACAAGTCGAGTAGAACGACGTCGCCGGTATTCTTCGTGTTGTGAACCGTGCCGAATCGTATCAAAGCCTCCCCTTTTTCTGCGCTGACATAACCTTCTTGCAGCTTGAGCAGCGTCGGAACCTCGCCAGGTGACTTATACTCTTAGCCAACCCTGTACCTGCTGCTTCGCCAGCGTCGTAGCGATCTCCTTTATCGCCAAATCATCAAAAAAAATTTGCTTGATGAAGCACTGCAGCCATGACATCGTCTCCGAAATGTGTTGTGAGCGCCGAAAACAAAGTCGGTTGCGTGTTGGGGTTCACTTCGTGAAGACGCGCATAAAAACGATCAACGTCTGCAGAAACGAGTTTCTCAGAATTTCCAAGGCTTTTTGGTTGACCTGAGACTTGTAAAATGTCATCATCATTTTGTCCGGCTCTAACCATCGGTGATCTTTAGCGATCTCGATGAGCTCCGCCCAGCTGTCTTTGAGGAAATTCGCCAACTAGCTTATCGTCCTCTCAATGTTGCCATCCGCGGCTTCATCGACTCTCGAACGTCTAGCAGCGAGACCGCTTCCCTCGTCCTCGATGACCTGACCAACTTCTGGTGACAGGCTGCTCGTTTTCTCTTTCGAGTCGGACGAGTTGTCAACACTAGGTAGAACCGCTGTAGCAGTCATTAACGTCAAAACAGTAGGAGTCTTCATCAGACGACTCGGCTCGTTGAAGATACGAAAAGACGTTGTAAAATGTGGTAAAGTTAATATTCAAAGGAGCATCATATTGAAACCTCCATCAGGACTATCCACTCCATTCCACTTCCATCCTTAGACCAAACACACTCCAAAACAAGTGACAAAAATACTTAAGAGAACCCAGAGACTGTTAACACAGGTTCACAACTTTCGTAATTAAACCTGGTTTAGGGTGTGCCTCAGGGTTCAGATAAACGTAGACATCCTGGTCGATTTCTGAAGTCGATGTTCTTTATGAGGAGCAAAGTGTTCATTCTTTGGCTGACTCCCTATTGATGAGCTCTTCAACCCTATCAAAGAAGACAAGTGTGCTCAGTCAAAGAGTGCTCGTTAGAATATAATTGTAGTAGTGCAGGAGGAGAAGAAATGAAGGAAGAAAGGAGTTATAGCAGATGAGGAGGCAGTTGCAGACAGACTCACTAATTCCGAGAATGTCACCATCTTAATTTGTGCCTGCACCTTGTGTTATCTGTCCCAGGAGACCCACCGTCCTGAATACGAGCGACTCCGCAGCCAATAGGCTGACATTCGCCGTGCCAACGCCACACTAACCACCCTCGAGTCATGGTTTGAAAGGCTTACTTCCCCACATTTGGTAACAATTGTCCTTCTGTACACTTTTATCTGTTCTCTCATCATTAGTAGTTATTCGTTAAAAGTCGGCGACAAAAGATAGACCACGGTGGACGTCGAGCCCCATAAGGTATCGGGGTCAAATGTTATGAATGTGAGGACAGTACACTAATACCTAATTTTGATTTTAAACCTTTTTAGTATATTTTTCCTTACAACATTTTGGTATCAGTATTCGCATTGAGAGAGGGGAGCAGGCTCTTGAGCTTGCCCTTCGATAATAGTAATCAGTCCATAGGTCTGATATAAGTTCCGTATATTCACTCGCCTTGCACTCTGTCACTATTAGCCTCACCCTCCCAGGTCCCAATCGCTTGTATAAATTTTACAAAAAGCGCTTGTGATCCATTTGGAACACTAGAAGATGATTAAAGCCTATGATCGTTCCACAAAACAATCCACTGAGCGTACAAATAAATCAGTTTGCTTAAGTACCAGAACGACGTCGCCCCTGTGTGTAGAGAGGTGTAGTGATTGGAGTAAGCAGCAACCTATATTGGGGTACTACAAGTTGGCGACTAAGTCTGTCAAGCGCATAATTGATTTATCTGCAGCTACAACGCGCCGACGAAAACGAAAAACATCGTCACACAATCATTTATCAAGTCGACACATTGAGTAGTAGGAGTTGCGATTTCGAAGAAAGACTTACTATCGAATTTATGAAAGCTAAATAAAATCCGTCTTTTTGAAATCGTGAACATGTAAATAGTCACTTGACGAGGATTGATGGTAATGTGCTTCAGGCCTGCAGTCTTCGTGGTGAGCTGCTCAGGCGGCATTACACGTACAAATTTTCCACCCGTGTTTACTGCAACTACAGAAAGATCAGGAAACCATTTGATGACTAAATGCGTGCCGGTACAATCGAACAAAGACAGCAAATACAGATTAATTTTGTGCTCCATGGAGATCTTTACGAGAGTAAGACCTTAGACGGAGCGAGAATGCTTGGTGCGCCGACCGGAACTACTACCGCGCTTTCAATTTATCATTTATCAGAAGTCGGCCACTGCAGTTCCAATCACGGTCTGGTCATATAAGCCTATCACAGCACATTATTTACCGAACTGGAAGATAATGGAGTTAATGGCCATTTTATAATTCCAGTCGAAGCGTTTAAAACGAAGACGGTTGCTATGAGGCATGACGTGGGATATCAACCTCGCATCGTCTCTCCTCTGGTTGTAACGTGTTGTCGTATCATGCTTTTTTCGTGATGAAGGCGGGGAATACATAAGCGAGTATTTCTTACAGCAGAGTCTCTTGGTATGACCAGGACCCGTGCAAAGTACAAGTTCCCTAGCCATGGGAGTAAGTACAATAATCGAGTAGAAATGCCGTTCATAATGGGACATGATCAGTTTCTCGACACATTTGCATACAAAATTTAAAAAAAAATGTTTTGTTCGATTGTCAACCCCGCTTGGTGATAATTACTGACAGTCGCAATCTGGAACTAGCTTTACGTGTACGGTTGACGCACTTGGAAGGTGATTGCAGTGTACCGCGATAATATCCGATGTTGCATTTTTCGGGTTAAAGTGTGCACACATTCGCATCGATCGTATTCCGCTCTTCTCTTTAACATCGAGGCATGTTTTCTGAATAAATGATGGTTTAAATGAATGCAACTGTATTTCAAACTGGAAAAGAAGTGCTACAAATCATGCTTTAGGTGAATTCACCCCCAGCATCTCGGGGTCAGCGGAGGCTGGGTCTGCAGTAACGATGCAATCCATATATTGAATGATATGCGCCGTCGCGGCAACAAGAAATTAAAAATGGCGCTGCACCTGGAGTGTACATAGTCAAATGCCCCGCTTACTATGCGATTGAAGTAAATTCGAGTCTCGTCAATAAACCACAACACGAAGTGTTTATTGTACAGGACTGGGTAGGAAGAATACCGATTATTTTTGGTGAACACAATCAGGTTTGTAATTTAATGGTATACATTCCGATTTTTAGCCGAATAAACCATGAGTGGGCGCTTGCTGCAATAAAAAATGCCGGAATCATCGTCACGTCGAACTCGTCGTGCACGTAGTCATAGAAAGACGGCAACTCAAATTTAATGAAAGTGAGTTTGTCGACGCATTGTTGGGCTGAAGCGGTTCTCTGGTTCGAGTGAAGACAATCAATGGTCGAGCAGTATATCTACCATTATCGCATACTAAAAAAATGATGGTGATCTGGCACAGATCAATTCAGTCCTTGCTATATACAAATCTGTACTGCAATATGGTCTTGGCGCCGTTTTCCATCAATCTTAAATGCGGCGACTCTTCCGCCTTTTCTTGATCTGCTGCCTTCACGAATTTGTTTAACTGAATGCCAATGGTCTGTGCTCGTATTCATCAAATAAATTGCAGGGATCATCGACTTTTAATCCTCCAGCTTTAAGCGGTTGCCTCTCCGATGGTCTCTCTGCAGTAAAACGTCGTCGTTAAAGCTATCAACCTGCTCGTCACACTTTTTTAAAGAAAAAAAGCAACCATAGCGACATAGTAGGGAGTACGGCTAGAATGGTATTATTCCTAGTATGCAAACGGTAGAGTGTTTTCTGTTTGCTTCCTTGCAGTTGCAGGGATCACCAGTCGGCAGGATCGTGCTTGAATCACACACTTCTCAGGAAATCAAACCGAATAAAACCTGGTTCTGAAGATCAAAGGCTGTCGGGTCGGATAAAAACCGAATAAAACCTGAATGTATAACACCGTGTGATGCCCTTCCTGATACAGTTTCCCTCGGATGCAACGCAGTTCAAAGATGCCAGCTATCTGCGTATTTCTCAGTGACAGAACACGTCAGCTTGGACGCTCGAAGCGTGTAAGCTTTTTCGCCCATGTCATTTCTTACGTCGCCGTGAAGTTGAGAATTTAAACGCCGTAAATGTATCCTCCATTTGGGAAACACCGTTGCTACTTTCCAGCATTCGATAGAATTATGAGTCAAGCCGAAGCTCGTGAGATCTTAAGCTGACAATATACTGTTGCGCTCGCTTTACGCTCGTACATCCAATGTATCCTCCCGTATAACACTTTTCGCTCAGTTTATATGCACGACTTTCTTGCGCGGATCTGTTACTGCCCCAGTTGCTGACGAGTGATGTCCTAGATCACTTCAATATTGCATGCGTCGATTGCAGTTGCAGTGTTTGTAGGGCAACTTGTCGAAAAACATTTCGCTGGCAATTTACAATCAGTTTTTCCACGTAGGTTCGGAAACCACTCATTACAACAAGGCGCTTAAAACGTACATTTGGACGACTTAAAAGATGCGGGCTTTACCATGTGTCACGTGTTTGCTATTTTGTTAGTTTACTCTTATAAGGCTACTACATGGTGTCAATCGATCGAATGTACATGCAAATAATGAGTCACGTATTCGTAATACGTACTGTCAGAGTGCTGCAGCAGTAGTAGAACGGTAATAAGTGAGCTAGTGTTGAGATCGGGACGCGCCCTGCACGTTTCTGCTGCTCACATCAGAGCCTTCCTCCTTCTCGAGTATTGTCCGAATATTCTTCAAACGCATTTCGAGTGCGAGCAGAACATCGTTCACATTTTTCTGATCGTCCACGCCTAGCTCTCCGATCTTCTCACTTGACGTATCCATCATCAAACTTTCAAGCAGGAGAAGCGCTTGCAGATAATGATCATGTGCAGCTCGAATGTGGCCCAGAACTTCTCGAATAGCACCCTGCCGCCCGATTCGAACTGCGTGCGTGTACAGCAATTCTTCCTGCGATGCGACAATCCGGATTGGAGCTCGAAAGCGTGCAGCGCTGTTCATTTGGGTCTTGCACTGCTCGGCGCGACTTAGGTAATGAGTCAGTTGACCAGACAAAAAAGACGTAGATGCTTTCTGACTCGTCCCCCCACTCTGTTCTGACGAAGTCCCGATCGACCCACGAGATGATGTCATATCTCGGGCGGTATCAAATGCAGGATCGTGTCGCAAATACAGCACAACGTGCTGTAGGAGCCGAAGACATTTGACATACAACGCGAGTGCTTCGGCAGCGCACATATAGCGGCGTTCGGCGCTACGTCTTTCATCCTCGTCTTCATCGTCATCAACGTCTTCATCTTCAACAGGCATACTGCTCACTTCGACCGATGAGCTGAGTGACATGCTCATCGAGAAAATGGAGGAAAAATCACCCCTGCTGACCCGCTTACCACGTATAATCGACAAAGGCTTGCTCTTACAAATTGTCTGTTGAGGTGACCAATCTCCCCCGACCGGTTCGTCAATGCTGTCATTTGTCGAATCCAATGGCACCTTACCAGCGGTACTTAATGCCCACAGCTGGTCAGCAATCGATGCAATTGCTTGAGTACGCAGTGCTACAACATCGAAAAGCTGCTGACCGCATTCACGAGACAAAGACCCGGCATCAGCACTGCGAAGACCTGCAATGGGTAATGCTCTTGTTGCCAAATCAATCTTTATAGGCAACGCATTGACTGCCTCGTTTGCACGCGGAACGAATGGAAGCGGGCCTTGCCCACCTGCTACAATTTTCTCTGGTACCCCATCAACGAGCACGTATTCGCCGCTGCTGTCCAATGCATGCCCACAACCACCGCCGACGCTTTTTTGCTTTGCAGTGACAATCGCATTGCTATCAGCCGGACAGCTGACAGGAGGCGTGTCGACTGGATACGAACCAGACGCTGAACAAGGCAGCTGGGGAAGTGCTGCAACACCTGGAGGCGATTCTGATAACCGCTTAAATGGGTTGATCCTCGGGCTAGGACTAGGCAAGATGTGCGGGCTCATTTGCGGGCTCAGCTTAGGACTGGTGCCGGCTACAAATCCGCTACCACTAGATGAGGCGCGTCGACTTCGCGCCAGCCGTGACGAAGACGACCGACGCAGAGCCCCGGACCCAGAACTTGCACTGGCAAACGCAATCTCCATGACTTCCAGGTTTCCACTGCGTGACTGGCGCGTCATCGTCGGTGGCGCTGTACTTGCAAACCGCGAGCTTGATCCCACTTTGTTCGAAACTGGTGGCTCATGACAGCGTTCGTCATTATCATTAGGTCCTCCGCGAGACTCCGGCGATACCACTGCATTACTCCCGTTCAGATCATCGCGACTACCTGCACGAGCAGCAGATACGCGCCAACGTCCTGGAAGCTCGTGCTTGCTGTCTTCCTCTTCTTCTCGGATACTTGCGTTTACCGAGATACTCGGTAAAGACTGCTTCGCTACCGCCAAGTCCAACTCCTCTGTCAACGGTTGCAAATCCACAAACGGGTCCGCAAAAAACTCTGCAAATCCAAGACGAAGTGCTGGTTTCCGCTGCAGCAGCGCCACCAGTAAATGGCGACAGCTTCTCGAGAGCTGTAACGTCGAGGGAAAGCGCAGCGGCTGGCGCTCAATGTTCGCCAACAATTGCACGTGATTTGCTCCACCAAAAGGCGGACGTCCAGCCACCATCTCAAACAAAATCGTTCCCACGGACCACAGATCAGCTTTGGCATCGTACTTTTGGAACTTTAATATCTCCGGAGCCATGTACAGCGGAGACCCGCACAGCGTCTCGGCCATCGACGCCGTGGCCAAATGCCGCGCAAACCCAAAGTCCGCTGCCCACCAAAAGCACAAAAAACATGTCGCACATTAGCCCAGTTGCAAAAAAAATGCATCCACTTGTCCACCCAAATGGGTACACGTAACCACAACCAACTGTCCAAGCAGCACGACTGCACCCGCCCAGTAGTGACTGTATACCCATCGGTGTCTCCCTGTATACGCACGTACCAATCTTGAGCGCCGACGTGGGCGAGTCTTCCACCAGCAACAGATTCTGCGGCTTCAAATCTCGATGGATGAGGTTGTGGAGCCAGAGACAGTGCATGCCCGTGGCCAGTTCCCGTAGAAAATGACGCGCCACGGCCTCCGGCAAGCACGGGCGACTGGCTGGCGGCGGCGCCTTCGGTTGGTGGCGCCGCATGAACTGCTGCAAGTCGCCTCCAGCGCAGTACTCGAGCACGAGGTACATGTGTTTGTCCGTCTTTTTGATCTCGTAGAGCTTCACCACGTTCGGGTGGTCGATCTGCCGCATGATGGCGATCTCCATCTCGAGATTGGCCAGCAACTTGCCGTTCAGTTTGTACAGCGAGAGCGCTTTGATGGCCACGGGCACGTTGCTCGTCTTGTGGTACCCCTTGTACACGACGGCAAACGAGCCACTGCCCAGCTTACTCGTGACCACATAGTCGCCAATCGATGCGCGGGACATGAAGGCAGAAAGGAAATGACGGTCGGAGTGAAGGTCCGTGCAGGAGTGAAGGTCCGTGCAAGAGTAGAGGTCCGTGCAGGAGTGAAGGTCCGTGCAGGAGTGAAGGTCCGTGCAGGAGTGAAGGTCCGTGCAGGAGTGAAGGGCACTAAAGTGGGTGAAAGACCGCCCCGCGCGTCGGACGGGACCGGCGACGGGCTTTCCGGCTAATTGCGTCTTGGAAAGCGGCAAATCGAGAATGCCGACGGCGTTTGGAGGTCGGGAGTCAAGTGGATGGTGTGGTGGACGTCAGATAGGGGTAGGACAGAAGTCATGACGCGGCGAGTATTCAGCCAATGGGCAAGCAGATGGTGAGAGAACGTGGAACACACGCGACGTTTTGCGCGGCGACGTCACTCAAGACAAGTGACGGGCCTGCCTCGCTTAAGCTCACATGGTACTTTGGGTACGAGGCAGTTTCATGCGGACAGTTTGTGACCGTGGCTATAGCACGATATTTAGTAAGTTGACGAGTGACTTGAGCCAGATACTTAGGAAGTTGACGGGTCGCCTCCTATCAGCAACACCTCAGAGGTGGAGGCTTCCACTGCTAAAGCGAGGGAAACGACTTGGGTATAAGAAAAAAAGGATCCTGGCTACTATTTGCGCAATGAATCGAATGTCGTCCGTCTTTTGATGGCCTGTTGAACTGGAGTGACACTCGCTCGTCTAAATTACCCGAGTGTCTTCACGCAAAAAGAAGCAAACACTTCATCTGCGATAAGGTTCTCCACCTATTTCTAAGAAATCTCAAAAATAGATTTCCTACGCAAAAAGTTCACACTCTTCAATTCGAATGGCGACTTTTTGTCCAACAAAGGCCTGAGGGGTCTTTTAAGCACACAGAAACTCTCGTCTATACATGGCATTGGCCACTTAAGAGGTGAAAGCTACTTAGACCGGGTACATTGCGATGTCTACGACGATACCAGCTACTACCAATTGAGAAACGCGCACAAAACTACGCAGAGATTTGCTGGTTTGCATCACGACAAGCCTGTGCTGATTTGCAGTAAGCATTAGCTTTTGGTGCTGACAATAGTTGGACATACCTTCCACAAACACGATCACTTCCAGACAAGCACATAAATGGCACTCTGTATACCTCAATAGCCGGCAATGAGCTACACGAGGGTAAGTCATTCGTTACAAGTATAGATGGTCGTCATACAATGCCGAACGCGTCAATCCGAACTGTTGCGCATGTTATTGACGACCACACTATTCCAAGTCGGGGTGAGCAATCGCCGCCATGGAAATGGGATACGAGTAACAGAGTGAAAGAAGAGACACGAACAGCGTGCATTGACTTGAATCACGATATTGTCTTACGCATTACAAAGCATATACTCAACTCCGGTGCTGCCCATTTGAAATCGTCGACCTTTGACATGTCGCTAATCTACAGCCAATTAATGTATGTTATCGCGGTTGCTGCGCTTGAACTCAGGTCTGCTTCGATTTTGACAGTCGGCCAGCATCCGTTGGCATCTGTACACCTTCACACAGGAGTTGTGTGATGTTCTGCGGGCAAATAGTACGTACAACAATACTGTACGTACTCATCAGTTGCTCGTACGCTCGGCCTGCAAGTCCTTCAGAAGATTATCAACATTGAGCTCTTCGACAGCACAATCGTCTTCATTTGAGCTTGAGCTGCTCCCGATGCTACCTCCCAACATGTGCCCTGCGAGCAATTTCTCAAGATGATCCACGTATTCAAATGTACTCCTGCAGTCCAATGAGCAAAACGGTCCAGTGTCACAATTAAGCGTCGACAAAGATACGAAGAACAGGCGTCCGCAGTTTACGCAATGTGCCTGACGTTTTCGCCAACCGGAGTCGCTCTTGTCGTCATCAGCAGTGTAACGAGCTATCATTTCAATGACTGTTGAATTGGATCCGGTAACAGCAATGGTCTGAACACTTGAGTGACGGGTAAAATTCTCCACGGGTGCAGTATTTGGCTGGCCGGACCACGACTTAGATTGCGGGATATCAGCAAAAGGCTCCCGTTTAAAGAAGATCGTGAATAGACGGGAGGCGAACCCGAAATGACTCTCATTGGCGCTGCGGTGTTTCTTTGGTGCTTCGTGGTCGCCTATTACTCGAAATGCTTTCTTCCTTTCTAAGTGGGGTGTGAGAGCCATACCTTGGGACGTATCGGCTACGAAGAGGAAAACACGAATATGATGATCCGAGAGGTTTTGCCTCGTAAGATAAGATCGTATGCGCTGAGTCCTTTCGCTTTCCAATCTTGTGTCGTTTCCCGTATCACAAATCATAGTCTGTGCAAACATGTACTAAGATGACTCATCATAGACGAACTTGTATGCCTGTTTTGACTCAATGTGTCTATGCGACCCAGCGTTCGTCCGCTGACTCAGCTCCTGTAACTTTCCTTATAGCTCTTTTTGGGACGTGCCGTAGGGACCTGGCGCGAGAATCAAGCTCATTCCTCGAAAAGTGTCTGACCAAGCAAGTGCAAAAAAGTGTTTGCCCCAATCCGTGCCTTGAGCTTATCTCCATTGAGTCTCTAGCTGGATACGGCTACAACCCTTTTTTGGCACTACGCAGGCTGCAACTCGAACAATGTATTCCGATTTGGGTTCTCCTTTCAATTTTTTTCGTCTAGCACTTACAGTTCTAAGACCCATTTGTCATCAGTTGCGTCAACAACAGGTATTCTTTGTCACCGACTAAAACTGAGACATCACTGCGTAGTATAGACTTGCATAACCTTCGATACATACTGTTTTAAGAAAGGTGCAGCCTTTAGTGCATGACAGAAAAAGGGTTCATCCAATCGACACACCAGTTCAGGCGGCTTACCTAATAATGTAGACTATTGTTGAAAATGCTAGTTACTGTACATGCACTGACAGAGTATTTCAAAGCGCGTTTGTGCTTGCCCTTTACGCGTATATCAATATCAATGTGTATGCACATGTATATCTGGATCAAATGTGCTAACCTTCTGCTTGCAAGACTGCATAATTTTTCGCAACTCGTTTCCAATGCGAACGTGTGCCCCACGCAAACTCGCATGGTGATAACTTGAGTAGTTAAAGGAGCGCTGTATTGTATGCTTGACAGGGACTTTTCATGCTCAACGACATGCGGGCTGATCGCAGTTGACTTCTGCGTGATATAGTCGTGCAAGAGACATCACGAGCGTGTTCACGATCGTGTAAAGGACGACTGAAATGGCACAAACACTTTCCAATTCCTTACGTACATTCCCTTTTTCTTTCGTTGTCTATGGACCTAGTTGTACGATATCGAGTCGTTTCCCAGTCACGACAGCTAGAGCGAAGAGAGCCCGAGATACATTATATTCAAATCATCCAGATGTCGCGCTCCCGTAGCTACTAAGGAAGTTTTATGGTGGCTTGGGGCCTCTTCCCTAGCCAAAATGCGTGTTGTTGTCAAGAGACTTTTCCCATACCTGGGACATGACAGCACATTCGAATCCGATCATCATTGGAGCTATCACATAGCTCGCTCTGTTGTTGAGCTGCGCAATTAGTGGCCAGATCTGATCAATCGGCATTCGCATAAGAAATTTCATGTAAGCTTTCTTTAAATTCACATCTTTAGTTGAGTGGAGTGATAGTTGTATGTTATTTCCGCTGCAGAAATAAAGCGATCGAGTTCAGTTGGGTATGCGTGAGCTCGAAAGTTGAAGATCCGATCTGTTTAAGCTGATGACCTAAGTGAATTATTGCACAGCTGGTGGGGTCCGTATTGAGCGCTCGATTAGTTGATGAGCGACAAGCTACCGCGCTGCATCGGCTTTACTACCGCGAGAAATCAGTGCTCACCGCTTAAAAATTTTCATTGGCGAATAAGATGGACTGCGGGTCTCGATTGCGTTCGTGTAAGGACAAAAAACGGTGCGTGTCCGGTATATCTACTGCCAGATGATCAACAATTCTCGGAGCTTGCTACACCACAAAAAAAAGTCGAATCCAAATAATAATTGTACAATTCATTAAAGCAAAGCGAATGTCATCTAGTAATAGGATATCGAGCATACACTGGACATGCAAACGATGGTCACCTTAGCTTGAATCCAAGTATGGTAGCATACCGCGCATGAGGTACTGCCAAGCATTACAATGATTCTACTGTGCTGAGTGGGCCCTAGCGTCGACTCAAATTCACGCTTTACCATCCTCACATTAATGAGTAGATGTCGTCGTCACTTCCGCGCCCATCTGGTTGCCATACTGCTCATAGCCATATTCTGCACCTATATTTCTACACCAAGTTTCTGAAGTCGAACACTGGTATCACCTTAGCACGCCTTGGCAGCATAAAATGGTATGTTGTTTCAGTGTTAAATAACACGGCTGTGCACAGTTGAAGGGTGATGATGAACCGTATGGATAGCTCACCTGAACCACAGGAATGTTCATCTGATTGTCAGAAGGCTACGGGTGGTGAGTAGACGATTCTAGAGGGATAAGGAAGGTAAGTAAGTACTTTTCAAATTGCCGTGGCATGAATCCAGCATTTTTTAATCAGCACTATTAGTTGTTAGGTTCGGTACCAACAAGAAAATGAGTGGTAGCGGCAGCTCCACGAGAGCGGGTCGCCCCCCCTCGCCCGCCGGATCCTCCGAACTTTTTTCCTTCCTTGCAGGAAGTAGCCGTCTCAAAAAGTCCTGAGCCTGCTCCAGACCCAGCTTAATCCAAGGGGGACCTCGAGTCGGCCCCTATGGCCAGTGACATGAACATGGACGAAACAAGTGATGGCTTTACTGAATCCACCCATTCCCGCGATCTGACCGCGACCGGCCAATCTACTGCAGTATAAATACCAGAAAAGGCCGCACGGCTGCGGAATATTGGTGTTGCTCACGCTACTTGTAACGGGGTAGCTCGTTACATGATATTGACACCAAACGGTGTCAATTGGAATATTGTCTAGCATGACAATATTCTACCGATATTATCCGGGATAGATACTATTGAAGAAACATTATCCCTTTTTAGATAATATTCATTCGCTGCTCCAGGATTGGTTAATATAAGACATATCAACCATAAATTAACACCAATCGCTGCTAGAAGCGCGCAATGAGCGGTGAGCAGGTTGTCGTCATACGACGGCGTAGTTTAATATAGTTAGATAAAGACTGAAATTGTATTGATAGCTTAAATATATTAAATACAGTTCTTTTTTACCTTTACTTGATCGAGTCGTTCAAATAATTTAGCTTCCTCTGCATGTACTAGTGTACGTGAAGTTTCGCGGCACCACAAACAAAAAGGGCCCCGTTACACCAGGTAGCACTTTGTAGTCCGTCCAACGACTACTTAGTGTCCGTCCAACATGTTCATGTTGGACGTAGAAGACGACACCTTTCACGTCACACGTTAAGGCTACTCCCATCTGAGTGACTTAGAATGGGAGGTAGTCGGTCGCATGAGTGTGCTCATGGGCGAATCCGCCATCAGTGGCATGTTGGATTCTCTAAGCAGAGATCAGCAACATGCTGCAATCAACAAGTTCCTACAAGGGGAACTTGCCATCGAGCGACAGAAGATAGCCTTGCTACAGCAGCAAGGCTCTCATCAGTCGATGGGCGGGCCGACGCACATGCGTCGAACCAAAACCTTGAAGATTGATATCTCAAGGTACAAGGGAACCGATGAATATTCCCTTTTGAGATGGTTCGTCGAGTTAGACGACGACATCAGGACACGTCACATCGAAGGTGACGAGATGCAAGTCACCTTCGCCCTGTCAAATTTGACGGGACAAGCAAAGACTTGGCCCTTAGGACTCAAGCTTCACGACCCAAACGTGTTTGAGTCGTTGGGGATCTTGAAATCTCGGCTTAAAGAGACGTTTGAGCCGCCGAGAGCCGAGTCCAGGGCACGCTCTGCACTCTTGAGGCTAAAGCAAGGTAAGCGTGACGTGCACGCTTACGCACAGCACCTGCGCTACCTTGCGTAAAGCGTTACGGAGAACCATGTTGATGAGCATACGCTCATCAATGTGTTAATCTACGGCCTTGTGGATGGGCCGGTGAAGACCTACGTGTTCCGAGAGGACTTCCATACGCCGGAAAAGGCGATAGCGTATGCGGAACAAGAAGACTTCAGTCTGAGACGGTCTCAGGCTAACTCCTTAAACTATCGTCCGACGAGGCGACAGGAAAGAGGAGGTCCCGAACCAATGGACCTCTGTTATATCGAGAGCGAGAACTCTCGCTTTCTGAGTCACCAAGCGAACGGCAAGATGTCATCGCTGATAGAAGATTGGGCACTACGCTCATGGGTGTAGTGTTCCGAGCACTGCGACACGTCCAAAAACAGGACGTGATGACCGCCGTTGGCCAAGGAAGGGTCCGAGGCATGGGTCTGACCATGTCGCCAAGCCGCGACAGCAACTCGGAACGTCAAAAAAACGGTCAGGGTCAGTAGGGGCGGAGCACTTTGCTGATTCAGCAACGTCAATAGAATTTGTAGGACTCTTGACGAAGATTTCTCCCAACACGCAGTCTCTGCGTGTTATTACCCTTATTGATGAGGAGTCTCTCATCACTTTGAAGATCGAAGTGACAAGTGGAATGTCACTTCGCGCCCTAGTTGACTGTGGTGCGTCGAACAGTTTCATCCGACACCAGTCGCTAAGGTATAGTAGTTTCAACTATGTTGAGCGAGAGTTCCCTCCAACGAGGATGACGGTGTGCCTTGCTACAGGCGCATCCGTAACAGTGAACAAACGTGTAGTGGGAATCCACTAGACGCTAGAAGGAAAGCAGTACGATGATGACTTTATCGTATTAGATTTGGATGACAAATTTGATGGCATCCTTGGTCTGCCGTGGCTTAGAAATACCGGCCATGGGTTAGCTGGCAGCATCTATCCGTGAAGATGCCTGCCGTTTGCTCATCGGATGGCCATCTGATGAACGTTTTGGAGCGTCCACAAGCGTGTGGATGTACTACGAGTGAGTGCGATGGCTTCACTTGTGGTAAGGTCGTTAGTACGGTTGCACAAGATCACAGTGTAGAAGGCTACCGCACTGTGGAACCAGCTTCCGGCACCTGTGTAGAGACACAGGCTGCGCCGAATGTTCACAACTATAAAAGATCGAGTGGATTGTCATATAGATGCACTCCAAGATTGGTGC